TGTGTTTCACTAACAAACCACCAGTGGACTCTGCAACTGTACAAAGAAGACACATAAATGAAAATACGGGTGAACTATTTATGGGAATGATAAACTTTGAGAATGCATCGTATTCTACTGTAGATGAACTGTTTAACTCTGTCACCTCTAGTGTTTTGAATGTTCTGGATACCGTTGCCCCTGTGAAGGTTAAAATAGTGAAAAATAAGCAGAAGGCGCCGTGGCCTAAAGCAGACTCGGTCAGGGCACAAAAGAGAAAGTGCCGGAGGGCCGAGCGGAAGTGGCGCAAGTCCAACCTCCAGGTTGATTACGAGATCTTCAAAGATAAGTTGTGCGAGTTTAACCGGGTGCTACGCAGTACGAGAGAAAGGTATTTTTCTGAAATGATTGAAGGCTGCAGCAACAATCTGCGTGTTCTGTTCTCAACAGTTAATAGATTAACAAACCCCCCTGTTCAAATGCCATTAGAGCTTACTTCCAAACGTAAATGCAATGAGTTTGCTAATTTTTTCATTGACAAGGTTCAAGTTATCAAAAACGCCATTGTCTCCAATCCACAGATAACCATCCAACAGCCAGAAAGGCTCTCTGAGCTAACTCACTTTGCACCTGTAAATGATAAAACTGTCCAAGAGATAATCTCCAGTTTGAGCTCCTCCACATGCAGCTTGGATGTACTACCCACTAGATTTCTGAAGTCTGTTCTGAGCAGTCTGTTACCTTCACTCACACAGATAGTAAACATGTCCCTTCATTCTGGAATATTCCCAAAGGCCCTGAAAACTGCAGTCATCAGGCCCCTGCTAAAAAAAGAGCAGTCTCGATGCTACGGTACTTAACAACTATCGTCCCATCTCAAATCTGCCATTTATGGGGAAAGTCCTTGAGAAAGTTGTCTACCTACAGCTTACTAGATTTCTTATAATCAACAACTCATTTGATATGTTTCAGTCCGGCTTTAGACCCCACCACAGCACTGAGACTGCTCTTGTCAAGGTTACAAACGATATCCGGCTGAACACTGACGCAGGCAAAGTCTCAATCTTAATCTTGTTAGATCTAAGTGCTGCCTTTGACACCGTCGACCATGAGATCCTCTTACAGAGACTAGAGGACTGGGTTGGCGTCACTGGCACCGCCCTAAGTTGGTTTAGGTCTTACCTTGAAGACAGGAAGTACTTTGTGGAGATTGGAAACTGTGTCTCAGATCATATGGCCCTGACCTGTGGAGTCTCACAGGGGTCAATCCTGGGACCTCTTCTGTTCAATCTCTACATGCTGCCGTTAGGTCAGTTAATACGCAGAAACGAAGTTTCCTATCATAACTATGCAGACGACACTCAGATCTATGTCTCACTGACTGCAGGAGAACATGGACCAGTGGACTCACTCCTTCACTGTATCCAACAGATCAGTGAGTGGATGCAAAACAACTTCCTTCGGCTAAACGCAGACAAAACTGAAATGATTGTCTTTGGTCCCCAGAAACAAAGAGAGAGCATCATCTGTCACCTACAGTCTCTCTCCCTAAAACCTTCAAACAAGGTCAGAAATCTAGGGGTAATACTGGACTCAGACTTAAATTTTAATAGCCACATCAAATCAGTAACATCAGCAGCTTTTTACCATCTAAAAAACATTGCCAGGATCAAAAACATAGTGTCTAAAGCAGACCTGGAGATTCTTATCCATGCATTTGTCTCCAGTAGGTTAGACTACTGCAATGGCCTGCTCACAGGTCTGTCCAAACAGGCTGTAAAACAGCTGCAGTACATTCAAAATGCAGCAGCTCGAGTCCTGACTAGAACCAGGAAGTACGACCACATTAGTCCAGTCCTGAGGTCTCTGCACTGGCTTCCTGTGGCTCAGAGAATAGACTTTAAAACAGCTCTGCTTGTGTACAAGTCTCTCCATGGCCTCGCACCAAAATATATTAGTGACATGTTAGTCCCATATGAACCAGCCCGGACTCTGAGGAGCACAGGGACTGGACTCCTGTTAGTGCCCAGAGTCAGAACTAAACATGGGGAGGCTGCTTTTCAGATTCATGCTGCTAAAATCTGGAACAGTCTTCCTGAAGATGTGAGACAGGCCTCCTCTCTGACAATGTTTAAAACCAGGTTAAAGACAGTTCTGTTTAACTGTGCATACAACTGAGGGATTTTATATTTTTATCTTTCTTTTTAATGTTCTGTGATAATTTATGATTTTAATGCTTTCTTGTTTTGTTCATCACTTTGAATTGCCTTGTGTATGAATTGTGCTATATAAATAAACTTGCCTTGCCTTGCCTTACCTTTGTTAAAGCTATCTACTGTACCTTTGTGAGCAAATTTTCTCTGAAATAAGCCTTAAGAAAACAAAGCTGCACTCAAAGCTAAAACACAAATATTGTGAAATGCCATTTACAACGTACTATTGTAAATACTTCATATGAAAAACTCACTGTTACATTTAAGTTAGTAATAGATTTACAGTTAAAACTGAGTGAGTATTAGACAGTGTTCTAAAGGGAGTATTAAATAAATGTGTTTATGTACACAAAAAGTTGGACTTTGTACTGTTTTTGGGTATTTTTATGGAGCATTTTCTGGTCCGGCCCAGTTGAGATCCAATTAGGTTGTAAAATGAGTTTGAAACCCTTGCTCTAAACTGTTTTAGTTTTTCACCAGATTTTTTTTAAAAAGTAGTGACCATACTTACTTTTTAATAAGCTAACTGCTGACAGTAAACAGTGTGTTGCTATGGTAACTAGTACAGTTAATGGTAGAACTACTCACATTTCAAAAATAAAAGATAATTTCATCAAATAATGCCAAAGAAATACATTATTTAGAAATACAGGAAAATTCACAGTTATGATGATTAAAAATCTACATACGCTGAGTAATTAAATTTTCAAAAGCTGTGGGAGTTCTAGTGTTAGCAAGGTAATACATCGAACTTCTTTTTCAAAAGAACCACAAAAGATTTTAACGAGTTTAATGAATGAGTAGCAGCAGAAACACATCCATCCATACAAACAACAGAAATTAATAGATCATTCTAAAAAAGCTAACAATAGGATTCAAATGCAACAGGACTTCAGCTCACAGCAGCAGAATTGGACTAGCCGCTTAGTTCGGACCATCTTCTCTGCTGTAGTCCAAAGTAAAATGCTGAATGCTTTTTTAGCATTGGTCAAAAAGATTGCATTCCTCCGGTGGATTTTTGCCTGATTCGATTGGTTCAGTCATGAATCCTCTCCACTCCGGTCTGAACCAGTGCAAAACCCTGAACACTGCACTGTAACTGCAGCAACATCTCAGGTAGAAAAAACAAGAAAAATTGTAAAGCACAAAACACCAAAGAGCTATTTAGGACTCGCTGCCGTTTCCAGCGTATTTGAAAGTAAAAGAAAAACGCTGCAAGACCAAATGATCATATAAGGACATTGGCCCTCATTTATGAAACTTGCGCAGAAAAGGGTGTACATTTTGGGTGTACTGTATATTCCAAATACGCATGGTCCAACGTGGGATTTATGAACGTGTGAGATCTGCCCAGATCTGAGCGTACGCACAGCGGCTGTTGATGAATGCTGCATTATAAATATTCAGCAACAGCCTGTTTCCCGCCCTGTTTTTGCGACAATTGAAAGGAAGACGGCAAAGAAAAAAAACTTCATGGAGCATGAGATTGAGACCATTATGAACGAAGTGGATCAAAATAAAGTCTTACTATTTGGAAGCCTCAAAAGTGCCATCAATGGGCTCCTGAAGAGGTGAGTTTATTCATATTTGTTTAAAAAGAAATATATTATATATTATGTCAAACAGTTGACAGATATATTGGGCCAATAGTTAGAGTTTATAACTTTATGCCTGCAGGTGAAAAATAATTGAGCAACCTTAGAATAGCAACAAAAGGCAGCCCATAAAAGAAGTGCTCAGCAGCCCAGGGGAGGACCGCCAGACCAAAGCATCCAAAAGAAAATATCAAGAAATAAAATTATCTTCAAATTATTTATGTGATTATAATAAAAAAAACAGATTGATAAATGCAGAAAAGTGTTATTTTTTTCCCTTACGCTTCATTTACATCCTCATTTGGCCATACGAACGTTTCATAAATGAGGGCCATTGTCTCCATCTCGCTTATAATGATAATGATAATGCATCGGTTTTATATAGCCCTTTTCAGGACACTCCAAGACGCTTCACATCAAGTCATTATTTTTTCCCAACATACACAGTGATAAACTACTAGTGTAGCCACAGTTGCCCTGGGGTACACTGACAGAAGTGAGGCAACCAGAAACCAGAAAGAGACCAGGGAGACCAAACAGACTGGAGATACACCACAGAGAGACCAAAGAGAGATCAAGTAGAAAGACCAGAGACAGACCAGAGACAGACCAGAGAGGTATCGGGGAGAGAGCGAGAGACCAGAGAGAATAATTAAGATTGCTGTCAATATGGTCTCTGTCCTCGTCTGCAGGTCTGTCTCTGGATGATTTCAGGTTTGTGTGGACGTGAGCTGAATCTGAAGGCTCTGTTGCGAGAGGCTTCATATCACTGCATATACATACTACTCTGTACACCTACTACTATGGCTCACATACTACTACTGCTGTAAACATACATACTACTACTGCTGTATGCAAACAACTACTGCTGTACACCAGAGGTGGGAAGTAGACTTAAGTAGATTTTGCAGGTATCTGTACTTTACTTGAGTATTTTTTTTGTTGCGACTTTTTACTTTTACTCCTTACTTTTAAAACACAAGTATCTGTACTTTCTACTCCTTACATTTTAAAAAATCAGGTCGTTACTTTTAAAATCTACAAAGTTGAGCAACAACACAACGTAAAAACCCGGGCCAACCAGCGCTGAAAAAGAGAAAGCTAAAAAAAAAAATTTATAAAAACATAAAAACAGGAAGCTAGAGGACGCAAGCTAGTCAAGCACATGGATAGTCACGCCGTGTTTTTAACTTGTGACTGTGAATGAGTCGGTATGGAGGAAAGTGAGCAGGACAGCGTCATCGAGGATGATTCCGCAGACACCGAAAGACAAGAAACACGGCACCCATGGCCTTACCTGAAAGAACTTTTCGTTGTTGTTGGCTATAAGAATGATTCGTGGCGGATGCAGTGCAACCTGTGCTTGCCCAAAAAACACGAACTTTTGGCATTCAAGAATTCACCGTCCAATCTGAAGAAGCACATTCAGGTTTGTTATTTCGATTTCGTATTGTTGTTACTAGTATAGGCTACATTTGATTAATTCTGGAGGTTTTAAAAAGATATAAGTGTGTCAGTAATGCTTTGGGGGCACTATTAGTTTGCAAGAAAGTGGTGCTAGCTTGTGGTCTGCCGCACTAGCTGTAACTCATGTCACGTTTGCATTGATACGATTTACACATTTTACACATTTATTCTCCCACTCCCAAATCATAACCGTAAAAGTAGCCACACATTTAGATTTTATTTTATTTTTTTAAGTCTCGTTTTGGCTGTGGAAATATGTTTAAAATCTCATTGTGTTATTGCTCAGTTCAAATCAAGCTGTTGATTAACTATCAACACTTTACAATACAACACTTTGTGTTGTATAGTAACTCAGTGTTACGAATATATGCTTGTATTATTTTAATGCAAGGAATACATTTGAGCTGATCTGTTTTTATATTTTGTTTGCAAACAGAGGAAACATGCCAATCATTTGGAGAGATACAAAAATCTCACTGCAGCTCCATTGAAAAGGAAGTCGTCCACATCTGATGAAGGCTCATCCAAACAGCTTAAATTGTGGGATGTCAAGAGGGTCTCACAGAAGAGTGTGGATGAATTCATTTTGAACTTTGTCATTCAAGGTCTGCACCCAGGCAGCATTGTCGAGCAGCAGGGTTTCAAAGCTATGATCAATCACCTGCAACCAGATGCAGTGATGGGCAGTAGCGTCGCTACAAGTAGCGTCGCTACTAGCTTAACTACATTTTTCAGTAGATTGACAGTAGCGTCACTATTTACAAAACCTAGTAACTTTTCTGTAGCTAAGCTATATTATTGCTCAAGTAGCGCGGTAGCGTCCGCCAAAGCTATTTTCTCACGGACATCTCTGATGTTCACATATTACACCATTTTCCCGCAGCATAAAACAAACATATAGAAAGACAGAATGCTGATGCGCATGCGCAGGGCTTGGTAACGACACACACACACGAACGTACGCGCGCACGCACACGCACACACATGCGCGCGCGCTACTGGGCGAAGCAAAAGCATGGCAGAGAGCCCAGGAGCCGCCGCGGTGGAGGAGGACCATGATAAGGACTCTCAAAGTGTTGTACCGTGGCCATACCTCCAAAAGTACGTCACTCTAGTCGAGATGAGCGAAAAGAAATATGTTTTCAGATGCCTACTCTTTGTTGTTTTTGGTGTTTTGGGCTATTGTTCAATAACTATCTACAAAATGTTAACCTTTATCTGACTGACAGTTTATCTCAAATAAGAAGATAAGCTTTATTAATCTCACACAGGAGAAATTTACATGTCACATTTGGCATGGATAAAACACTCAAGAATTGTGCAAAAAATAAGAAATGAGCAAACATGTTAATGCAGGAAAATATAAAATTGCATGAACTGCAGTTTGTTTAATTGAAAATAGCTTCTATATAGCAAGCTACTTTTGACAGAATTTTGTAACTTAGCTTGCTACATTTGTATGGGTGGTAGCTTCTGTGTAGTGAAGCTGAATTTATTGTAGAGTAGCTTGTAGCTTAGCTCACTACACAAATCAAGTAGCTTGCCCATCACTGACCAGATGTGACAATAATGTCCCGGGGCACAATGATAAACAGGATCGAAAAAGCTACAGTAGAAATGAAGAAAAATCTTAAAGCTGCTATGAATGAGGTTGAGTTCATTGCAACTACTACTGATTGTTGGACCGCACACAGGAGAAGTTTCCTTGGAGTCACTGCACATTGGATTGAGACAGAAACTATGACTAGATGCTCTGTAGCACTGGCATGCAAACAGTTAAGAGGTTCACACACATTTGACAGCCTAGCTCGAGCACTGAATGACATTCACACAGAATTCAACATTCGGGACAAAATTGTACGCACAACAACAGACAATGGGTCAAATTTCATCAAAGCCTTCCGGGTGTATGGAGAGGGGGAGGAAAATAATAACCAGGAAAGGCAAAGTTAATCGGATGCAAGTGAAAACAGTGAAGGTGAGGAAAGAGAACAGGAGGGAAATATAAACTTAATTGAAGCAACAACATTATTGAACGAAGATGATGGCCTTGAATACCAACTTCCCAAGCACCATCGCTGTGCCTGCCACCTTCTCAACCTGGTGTCAACTGTTGACGTTTCAGATGCCAATGCAAATGCAACGTACAAACGACTTTCCCGGTCAGCCTTTTCAAAATGCTGGGGCCTGTGGAATATAAGTGGGAGATCTACTGCTGCGGCTGAAATCATTGAGGAAAAATGTAAACTCCAGCTCCTGAGGCCCAATGACACAAGGTGGAATTCCATGTACCTGGCTGTTGAGAGAATAATAAGAATCATGAGAGAACAAGGAGAAGGAGCCATCACAGCTGTGTGTACTACACTTAAAATGTGAGTAACTTTTATGATATTTATATTATATTAAGTTTAATAATCATGTAACATACAGTTTAAAATGTGTAATGTGGTTTGTGCTTGTTTCTCTTTAGTAGCCACTGATGTTTTATCATTATTATTATTTTTTTTTATTCAGGTTCTCTCCTGCTGAGATTGCCTTTCTCAGTGAATATGTCAAGATAATGTGTCCTGTTGCAAAGGCAATTGATGTTCTTCAAGGAGAGACCAATGTGCAGATGGGTTGGCTCATTCCCACTATTACTCTTCTCAAGACTAAACTACAACACCTTCGACTCTCCTCCAAGTGCTGTGTGCCGCTCATAGATGCTCTTCAATCTGGACTTCAGAAGCGCTTTGGTGAGATGCTCAAGGATCCTGAGCTCATTGCAGCTTCCATTCTGGTGCCCAAATTCAGAAGATGCTGGACCACAGATGAGGGCCTTCTACAACTCGGTGTGTATTTTTATTTGTTTTATTTTTTTGTGCATTGATCTGTTATATTTACTTAAGAGACATGTATTTGAATGGTTAATGCAAAAATGTATTAGGTGTACTAATATTGCTGTATTTGCACTGTGTTTTTGATAGGCCTTGACTACATCAAAAGCCATCTCAAAGAGCTACCTGTGACTGTCAGTGACTCCACGCCTTCTTCAGAGGAAGATGACTTTTTTTCACCTATCAAGCAAGGGAACTTGCAAGAAAACACCAAACAGCTTGAGTCATACCTGGCCTGTCCCAATGACACCATGGAAATCTTGAAGTCATTTCCTGCAGTCCTGGACCTTTCACTACCACTCCTTTCACTGAACACTCCACTACCTGCTTCTGCTGCCTGCGAAAGGCTCTTCAGCACAGCAGGACTCATTTTCCGACCCAAAAGGGCACGCATCCATTCACAAAACCTTGAAAACATGCTTCTGTTGAAGCTAAATCCAAAATTTTGGTAGTTTGCTTTTCCCCTTATATATCGGGATGGTTCCATTTTCCCATTGTATAGTTTGGTCATACTATAAGCTCCAAGTTATTTGGGATGTTTTTGCACTTTGTTTTTCTTTCACTTTTACAGTTTGTAGTTTAAGTTATAGGAATGATGAAAATACCACATTCTGCAGGCGCTCATGAATGATCTTACGGGTATTACTACATTGTCGGATGTGCATTTAATTTCACACAAAGTGACATTTATTGTGTTCGGTGCAGCAGTACTCTGAGTTGAGTCTGAGTAAAAGAATAAAGAATTTGAAGGTCAAAACAGAGGAAAAATATCGATTTACTTTTTACTTTTTTACTTAAGTACATCTAAGAGTATGTACTTTTTTACTTTTACTTAAGTAAGGCAGAGGGTGCAGTACTTTTACTTTTACCAGAGTAGTTTTTTGCACAAGTATTAGTACTTTTACTTAAGTACTGAACACTGGTACTTTTGACACCTCTGCTGTACACATAGTGATATGGTTTAGATAAATATTGCAAATTACAATATTCTGAATATATAATTATACACAGTAGTAGTCTGCTGTGGTTGCTACTACTAGTGCTGCTACTACTACTAGTAGTCTCAGCTCTCTCTCACCCCAGTCATTCAGGGAAGGCCTACAGACCAGACAACATCAGCTACAGGCTCCTGCGCAGATGAACTCTGAGGAGTGATGGTGCACGTCTTCAACCTGAGCCTCAGGCTGAGGTCGGTACCACAGATCTGGAAGACCTTCTGTGTGGTACCAGTGCTCAAAACACCACGGGCCAAGGATCTCAGCGACTTCAGGCTGGTGGCTCTGACATCACACTGCATGAAGACACTGGAGAGACTGGTCCTGGGACCTCTCCGCTCCACTCAGACCTCAGCGATGGACCCACTGCAGTTCAAGTCCGGTCCGGCATCGGAGTTGAGGACGCTATAATCTCCCTCCTCCATCGCTCGCTGTCCCACCTAGAGAAACCCGGCTCCGCTGTGAGGATTCTGTTCTTTGACTTCTCCAGCACCTTCAACACCATCCAGCTGCAGCTTCTCAGGGACAAGCTGGAGACAGCTGGAGTGGACCATGACCTGTCTGAGTGGATTCTGGACTACCTCACAGACAGACCCTAGTTTGTGAGACCTGCAGTGTGGGGGCCTCCCAGGGGACAGTTCTCGCACAGTTCCTCTTCACCTTCTACACTGCAGACTTTAGACACAACACGGACGGTTGTGTCCCCCAGAAGTTCTCCGACGACTCTGCCATCATTGGACTCAGCTCCGAGGACGATGATGCAGAAAACAGAGGAGTAATACAGGACTTTGAGGACTGGTGTCAGCAAAACCACCTCCTCATCAACGCAGGGAAGACCAAGGAGATGGTGATGGATTTCCGCAGATGTCACTCTGCCGCTCCAGCCTCCAGTGAACATCCAGGGAAAGAACATTGAGAGAGTGGACTCTTACAAGTACCTGGGTGTTCATCTGAACCACAAGCGGACGGGACTCATAACACAAACGCCCTCTTCAAGAAGGAACAGAGCCGACTCTACCAGCTGAGGAGGCTCAGGTCTTTTGGAGTGCAGGGGGCCACTCCTGAAGACCTATGACTCTGTGGCGGCATCAGCCATCTTGTACGGTGTGGTCTGCTGGAGCAGCAGCATCACAGAGAGGGACAGGAAGAAGCTGGACATCAGGAAGTCCAGCTCTGTCCTGGGCTGTTCCCTGGACACAGTGCAGCAGGTGGGGGACAGGAGGGTCCTGGACAAACTAACATCTATGCTGGACCATGACTGTCACCCCCTGCAGGACACTCTGTCTGCTCTGGAGAGCAGCTTCAGTGACAGACTTATGCATCCTCGATGTGTGAAGGAGAGGTTCCGCAGGTCTTTCCTTCCTGCTGCTGTCAGACTGTACAACAAACAATAAGGACTAATGAACACTGCCAACGGGATCCCATGTGTCATGCATCATTGCAATATCCTTAACTTATATCAGAATGTGCTATAACCGCATGTCACTGTCATTTTACTGAGTCCCTGTGTCCCAGAGTCTCATGCTGCTAATGTACAGATGTAAACATACTGCTGCTAATGTACAGATGTAAACATACTGCTGCTAATGTACAGATGCTAACGTGTAACTACACTTTGCCTGCACTAGAATACACAGTACTTTATACTTGCCACTTATTGCCAAATGTTAAACTTTTACACCTCTTTTATTGTTATTTTCAAGATAGAGTTTTTAAACTTATTATTGATGCTAAAGATAGAGATTTTGTTTTATTTTAATTAGTATAGCTATTGTTCACTTACAGTGCCTTGCGAAAGTATTTGGCCCCCTTGAACCTTTCAACATTTCGCCACATTTCAAGCTTCAAACATAAAGATATAAAAATTTAAAAAATGGTCACGAATCAACAAAAAGTGGGACACAATCGTGAGGTGGAACGAAATTTATTGGATACCTTAAACTTTTTTAACAAATAAAAACTGAAAAGTGGGGCGTGCAATATTATTCGGCCCCCTTGCGCTAATACTTTGTAGCGCCACCTTTTGCTGCAATTACAGCTGCAAGTTGCTTGGGGTATGTCTCTATCAGTTTTGCACATCGAGAGACTGGAATTCTTGCCCATTCTTCCTTGCAAAACAGCTCGAGCTCAGTGAGGTTGGATGGAGAGCGTTTGTGAACAGCAGTCTTCAGCTCTTTCCACAGATTCTCAATTGGATTCTTCCCATCAATTTTAGCCATTTTCCCTGTCCCTGCTGAAGAAAAGCAGGCCCAAACCATGATGCTGCCACCACCATGTTTGACAGTGGGGATGGTGTGTTCAGGGTGATGAGCTGTGTTGCTTTTACGCCAAACATATCGTTTTGCATTGTGGCCAAAAAGTTCGATTTTGGTTTCATCTGACCAGAGCACCTTCTTCCACATGTTTGGTGTGTCTCCCAGGTGGCTTGTGGCAAATTTTAAACAAGACTTTTTATGGATATCTTTGAGAAATGGCTTTCTTCTTGCCACTCTTCCATAAAGGCCAGATTTGTGCAGTGCACGACTGATTGTTGTCCTATGGACAGACTCTCCCACCTCAGCTGTAGTTATCTGCAGTTCATCCAGAGTGATCATGGGCCTCTTGACTGCATCTCTGATCAGTCTTCTCCTTGTTTGAGATGAAAGTTTGGAGGGACGGCCGGGTCTTGGTAGATTTGCAGTGGTCTGATACTCCTTCCATTTCAATATAATTGCTTGCACAGTGCTCCTTGAGATGTTTAAAGCTTGGGAAATCTTTTTGTATCCAAATCCGGCTTTAAACTTCTCCACAACAGTATCTCAGACCTGCCTGGTGTGTTCCTTTGTCTTCATGGTTCTCTCTGCGCTTTAAACAGAACCCTGAGACTATCAAAGAGCAGGTGTATTTATACGGAGACTTGATTACACACAGGTGCATTCTATTTATCATCATCAGGCATTTAGGACAACATTGGATCATTCAAAGATCCTCGCTGAACTTCTGGAGTGAGTTTGCTGCACTGAAAGTAAAGGGGCTGAATAATATTGCACGCCCCACTTTTCAGTTTTTTATTTGTTAAAAAAGTTTAAATTATCCAATAAATTTTGTTCCACTTCACGATTGTGTCCCACTTGTTGTTGATTCATGACAAAAAATAAAAATTGTATATCTTTATTTTTGAAGCCTGAAAATGTGGCGAAATGTTGAAAGGTTCTACCGTTCTATAACTTGTGATGTAACACTGAAATTTCCAAACTGTGGAACGAATAAAGGATCTCTTAATCTTAATCTCTTGATTAATCTATTACACCCACAACTACTTGTAGTAGTAGTAGTAGCAGTAGTAGTCCCCTCCCACCCACCCAGTTCAGCGCTGAGCAGGATTCATGCGTTCTTCTATTATTCATGTGTCTCCCAAACGTCCCACAAGGCCAATTTCCAACACAAATGTTTGTGGAGAGATTCCGCTGATGCACAATGCTGCAACATTATGCTGTGTATCTGTCCATGAAGAGAGATGGACTAGAACTGGTCATTATTAAAGCTGGGTTCGTAAATTTCAAATCACAACAAGATTGGAGCAATGTGATTAAACCCATGTCACTAAACTAAAACAGCTGCTTCTATCACTAGTTTTTACATCACATATTTCTGGCCTCTGCCAAACTCAGATCAGCTTTTTCAGGCAGAAAGAGGACCACCCTCAACGCCAATCAACTACAATTACAAAAAAGGTCAGGTTCCCCAGCTTTAATATGTATAGGGCTCTCAACATGTAAAGAACTGGATCTGAAACCTTGGGTTGCCTAAAATGTTTATATGGGGAATTCAAAATTACAGGGAAAACTGAATCATGAAAGACTATGCTTGTTGAAGATGTTTGAATTGTTTCAAGGCATTTCTTGCTTGGCTTTTCACCACACGAAAGATAGGACCGTGTTGAAATGAAAGGGTCAAAACCAACTTCCCACTTTCAAATCATAGATTATATTTTAACGGATGAAGTCACGCCTATCTCCACCGTTCTAACGAATGGGCCAAAAACTGGGCTCAAAATGGCCGCAGGGGCTGGAAAATGTGAAAAAACAAAGCCCCGGCGATCCAAGATGGCGGCGTATTCAAATGAATGGTTGTGCTCAGTGGCGCTTTGTGCCGGCCCGGTCACTGACATATTAGCGGAACTCGCCTGTATTTGGGCATCATCTGGTCCTTCCGGTTCTGCGCAGTGGATGATCTCCCATGATGTGTTGCGCCAAACACGCGTGTGTGGGTCTCACCCTGGGTGTCATGCACGTGCACAGAGGGGCTCGGCTGCGCTCTGACCAATCAGAGCTGTGTGGATTTAAAGAAAACCGAAGGATTTAAGAAGAAAAAAAGTTCAGGCTGATAAGGGACACTAAAATCCCCACAAAATCCGACCTTTATTAAAGCTGTATAGGTTCTCTGTCAGCTGAGGTCGAGCTGTTTTAGTTTACATT